ACCAAAAAAGCAAACACAAACCCAAAAACAACAACAAAAAAACCATAAATAAAATAAACCCTTCGTACCATACCTGCTGCCGCCGCAGAGGTGCGGGCTGACCGGTGCGCGCCCCCGGCAGGGGCAGGAGCAGGGGGCGGAAGCGGAGCCCCAGCCTCCAGTCCCGCTCCCCGTGGCCCCGCTGCCACCGGCGGCGACCCCCGCCCAGCTCCCCGGGAACCGCATCGCGGGCAATTAGGATTCACCATCTAAACGGGCTCACAGCGGTACCTCTGGAAAGTCGCGTCCAAATTAAATCATATGGGGTTTTAGGCTTCCAGCCACCGCATCTGCCCGCGCAGTAAGTCCGTTTCGGCGCGGGCCAGTTCCCCGCCGCCTCCGCCCGCAGCTTCCCCCGCCTGCTCCGGCCCGCCGCCCCCGCGCCTGGCCCCGGGCCGTACTCACATCTCGGTAACGTTGTCGCCCTCGGCGCTCCGCTGCGGCACGGGGAAGGAGGCGATGCCCGGTGACGGCTCCGTGCACCAGATCCGCCAGGAGCTGCAGCGGCAGGACGCGGGACAGCCCAGCGCACCCCGCCAGCAGCCCAGCACCAAACAGCACAGGCACCACAGCCGCGCCAGGCCGGGTCCCGGCCTCCGCCGCCAGGACACCATGCCGTCCCCGTTCACTCCAGCGCTGCCCCGACGGCCTCCTCCTGCTCCCTGCGCCGCCGCCGCTGCCGGGGCGCTCGGCCGGAGGGTGCGCAGCCTTCCGCGCCGCGGGCGGACAGCCGGGACCGGCGCTTACATGGGCGCGCCGCAGCCGCAGCCACACCGCCCCGCGGCGCTGTCCGCCCCGGGCACTGCGCGGGCCGGCGGGGGCGACGCGGAGCACAGGGCCGAGCGGGGCCTCCGGTGCGGCGCGGCACCTGCCCCCGGCCCCGCGGGCTGACAGCGGCACCGCCTGCCCCCGCGGCTACTCCCGATGATGCTGCAAAACGCGCGGGGCGGCGGGGGCAGGTGGCGGAGGCTGCGCGCCTACCTGCGGGGGCTCGGGCCGCGCTGCCCGCCGGAGGGAGGGCGAGCGGGCGGGGAGGCAGGCGCAGCTCGCGGCGGCGGCGGGGCTCGGGGCTCCGCGCTCGCCGCTTTACGCACCGTCTCCTCCTCCCTCCAGCTGATAATAAAGCAGCTCCGGCTCCTGCTCCAGCCCAAGACGGGGAGCTGCCGGCAAAGTGACGTGGGGCTGACGCAGAGAGGGGCAGAAACTCCACAAAATGAGCCTGAAATAAAAAAATAAATTAAAAAAAAAAAAAGGCACAAGGGAGGGAGGCGGGGGAGCGGGGGAAAGGGAGGCTGCTGAAGAGCGGATACCAATAGGCAGGCTGCGCCTGAACCTTCAGTCTCGCTCTTGCATACGCGCGCACACAGAGGCGTACACGCACCCCGCGGGATGGGGAGCGCCCCGCCGCCTGTGAGAGCTGTCTGCCCCGGTGGGCGGACGGAGGCACCGTGCCGAGGGGCACCTGGCATCATCGCCGGGGCGAGAGCTCGTCATCGGGCGGTAAACGGGGATGGTGTGAGAACCCCGGAAGGCGACGGATGAGCGACCCTAATACACCTTGTTCTTCCCTTGACAGCTCTGCGGTTGGGGGTGCCTTGCGTTTTTTCTGCCCCCACCCCCGGTTGCGGGTTCCGCAGCGCTGCCGGTGAGCAAGATCCCGCCGCAGTGCCCCGCACTGAGCGCTCCGCAGGCGCCACCGCGCGTCCCGCCACCGCCGTGCACCGCGGTCCGGCCCGCATCGCCTCCGCGCCCAGCAGCGAACCCCCGACCGCCCCACCGACCCCCAGGCACCAGGGGAGCGACACACGGCACGCAGCAAGGAATTATCATTGCTGTGCACTGAGGCAGAGGCAAGTCCGAACGACATCCGTGTGTCACACATTCGCAGGTGCAAAGAGCAGCTGATCTGGGATGCTCTTCCACGTTTCTGAGACTGTGTGCTTCTGTCCTGGTACACGGCAGGTAGTTCTTGCTCTTCAGGCTCTTCACTTAACCTCTGTACCGTTACATCACAGGATGATGATGGTCCTTTCCTACCTAACTACCTGAGCTCAATATTTTGAAATTAATAAATCTGGGTGAATTAAAGAAAGAAAAGGTTACAGAATTCCTCTTTCTAAGGTACAGAGCAAACCGTCAATAGGCTGATAGAAAGTGCTTGGGAATCAATTTAACATGGCACTTAATAATTGAAAGCACACTTTGTTCTTTTTGCATTTTGCTCAGGCTAACAGGAAAATCCCCATCTTACTGGGTGCATTTGTAGGCCTGGCATGGCCACAGGCAGGGCTAGTTTTGCTTTCAAAGAACATCCTACTAAGAAAGTCAAAGCCATACCTAACTGAAACACTGATTTATACTTCCCCATAAGGGAACAAATGAAGACTAGACAAAAAAGACATAATTGAAAAATACTATTCATCATGATATACTTAAACCTAATTTATTTGAAGTTTAAGTAAAATGGTTACATAGATACTCAGAATATATTGCCTCTTTACCAAGTTCAGCACTTTGTCCTTTCTAAATAAAACACAAGAAAGAAGAAGACAGGCTCAAGGAATAACAAAGCCAATGATGCAGCATAAAAACATGGAAGGACCATACAAAATATTATTCAGTGCAAGGTCTTGTGTCTACAGTTCATACTTCTTCTTTTTTTTTTTTTTTTAGTCATTAATAGCTTTAAAATAAAATATTTCTCCAAACAAAGTATTTATAGAAGGACAGCAAGTAAGATAAAAAGGTCTTGGAAAAATTTTCTAGAGGCAAAACAGTTTGGTATTTTTAAAGGATTTGGAGGCAAGTGTTAAGGGAGAGAAAAATTATTAGCATAAACTTCAATATGATTCTATTTTCAAAAGACCTTCAGAAAGGTCCTTAATGCAGGACAGAAGTAAAATTTTGAAATGTATAAGTTGCTGTAAAACCTGCTTTACTGTTCTCCAGCCAAGGCTGCTTACAGCTTTGGAAAATACGCTTTATTCCCCCTCTCTCTTCTGGATGAACATGAAGACATCAACTCTTTAAGGCAATAATTACTCCTTGTAATTCTCCTTGTGATTTTATGACAATTAGGTTACAGCTGTCTAATCATATATGGGCACATACTGAACCTTATTACTTCACAGACATCTTAGGTCTCTGTTGTCTGTGAATTTGCAAAACTGAGAAGTTGTCAAAGAAGTTTTGGATAAAACTGTGCAGTCGCATCAAACTGGCTAATTAGATAATTCAATAGTATTGAAAGGACAAAGTTCTGTAGGCAAGACTATAGATTCATAAGGCTGCAGGTAAGCGTTAAATAACACTAGAGCAAACACTTGGAAAAGGAACCATCACCTATTGTGCTAAACATCAGTTTATATTTTCTGCAGTTCAAAAAATTTTTCATGAGAGTGTTGCTGAGCTATACCGTAATCATTGCTTAGAAGTTTGGAAACATAGATTTCTGCATGACTTACCAGGTGTGATAACGTGATGGTAAAATATCAAATTCTGTTAAAAATTTATTTCCCCACTAAAATTAGTATCTTATAAAAATAGATTGGGGATATGGGAGAAGACTGAAAGTTCCACCAGAATTGTCAAAATGAAAGCTAGGGAATGCTGCACTGAGAAATATCATTGTTGGCCTAGTGGGGGAAGCAGCAACTCTTTCAATAGGCACAGTTCCTGCTTTGAGTCTTTAAATTCTAGAATTATTTAGGATAGCTGTACAAAGAATTTCTGTGGTAAGTCATGATTTTATTTTACATAGATAAGCTTTATTTTTTTGTGTTCTATGTTTTTTTCTCACAGATTAAAAAAAATAGGAAAGAACTTCAAATACTCAAATACTTCTTATTAATCAGTACTTAAGGGAGAGCCACAACTAAACCACAAGAGACAAGTAGCTTTCTGGTAATGCTGCAAGAGCAAACATCATCCTGAAGGTATTAAAACTGGAACAAAGAGTTGAAAATATGACAGTGTGATTAGAGGGCTAGAAAATAGGAATTCTGAGTCAAGATTGAAAGAATTGGCTTTCTTCAGTGCGTGAAAGTCTGAGAGGAAGTGTAATAACACCCCTGAAATATGTAAAAGGGCATGCAAAGGGACAGGTAATATTTTTTCCTTGTCTGTGGAATAGGACAAGAAGTAATACACTTGATCTACAACAAGGATGATTCATGTTTGACATTATGAAAACTTTTGTATGAAAAGGACAGTTAAGCACGACAAATAGATCACTTTGGAGAACACTCAAATCTTGACTAATAGAGCCTTCTCAGAGCAAGTGAGGTGAACCTCTTCAGAGCTGGTGAAGTAGAGTCAGATTTGCCTTAGGTAGATGAAGGCAAATTAATGACCTCCCAGAAATTCTGTTCCTTTGCAATACACATTTCTTTGCCCATTTTTTTTGCTGCTGTAGATAAAGTTATGTGGGAGCACATTTATCTGAATATACTTAGAGCAAAACCTGAGCATGCTGAAGTACTCACTGTTTCCTTGAAATCACTGTCCTAAAGTTAATTTTGATCACTCTGAAGCTTTAACTCATACACCATAAAGAGCGTATCATAGCATAGAAATTATAGTAAATATCTGCAAAGGTGTATAACATGAATTTCTGGGAAAAAGGCAGCACCTGAAAATTCAAAGAATTCCCCTGAGAGTACTGTTATTTAGGTGGGGGAATAAGAAATTATACTGCAGAGTCTGAGACCAGGTCACATGATTTGTGTGTGTGGCAAAGGTGTGTGTTTACAAAAAGACCAATCTTACCAAAACTGCATAGAAATAAATGCTTACAATTTGCTTCCTGTTTCGAAATTTTTAGCTCTTACAAGAGGGAGAGTTTGGACACCTCATAGGAACTGATGATCTTATCAGCAACCTTTTGTTTTCTAGAGAAATACCTTGATTCCCATGAAACTTTCAATATGAACATGTCCTTGCGTTCAAGAACTGTGGTCAGAGACACACATTTGCACCATGACGCAGAGGAAGCCTACGAACTCCAGTTGCCAATGTCTGCTGGGCTGATAACTACTCTGAGATGTACCTGCCTCTTAAATGAACTCGAAACATCTTTTCCCTCAATGACAAAAACTGGCTTCCACACAGCTCTTTTCTGAATTTCCTCCAAACACAAGGCACTCTCTGAATGTCTTAGCCTGCCTTTTGTTCTTTGAAGTGTTCCGTCTATTTGCAGATTTATCTAGCTACTTGATCATGGCTGATTTTGCATTCCTAATAATGGAAACATGGTTACGTTATCACTTTCAAGCATCGTTCAGCATGTATTGGATTTTAAGGGAAGCTAAATCCTGCCACCTTGTGCTCAAGAAAATTAGCACACCTTTTTGTTTTTGAAGGAGGGAAAAAAGAGAAGAGGGGAAGGAAAAGTTGACTAACTACCCTGTTTCTATTATACAAAGAATAAAATGGGGCTCTGTCCAGTGGTTGAGTCCAGTTCGATATTGCCCGAGATGCCTATTTGAGATTTTTTAAAAAGGACAGTCACTCTTCTAGAGACACTGTTCACAACATGGAGTGTCGCTTTTCATATCCCCACAGAGTTTCAAAGTCCCCCATGTTGCCCCCATGCCCTTATGAGGGCAAGATGTTTAACCAGCCTGTCATCCCATAGCCTGTTTGTCTGATGCCTGCTGGTATTAATCAGAGTTCCTGATTACTCTTGATCACGTTTGTTTGCTATGAGAGCAGTGCTGCTTTCTTTTCATCAATAAGTGGCCACATCATAGAGTGGAAGGAAAAATCCCTCTCATTTATAAAAAAATAGTTTGTATTTCTTGGGGGAATGGTAAAAGTAATGATTGTAAGGAGCATGGAACTCCCTTTTTTGCTTAAGTCCAGGCAGCATTGTTTTTCTGGCTGACAGGGCTCCACAAGTAGCTTCCTGGTAACATGTGAGTGCAAACGTCGTCCTGAAGGTGGTAGAACTAGAACAAAGACTTGAAAAAGTATCTTCCTCCCTTAATTGCCCCTCCTCTGTGTCACTGCACGCTCTTACCCCAGCATCAGTCAGTTTTTTCCACCACGCTTGTGAGTCTCTCTGCAGCCAGCCAGACTGGGCAGCTTGTTATTTCTGCAGCTATCCAGTTATCACCTTATGGACGACTGAAAGCAAAG